GGGCATAATTGTCGATTGTGGCCCTCGGGAAATTAAAAGCCCTCCTTCGTCGGGCTTTAAACATTCCCTCGTGCCATAATCTCCCTAATTATGCCTTTAATACATACATAACTATTAAGTAATGGCGACTGTTTCCAGTTTTTGAGTTTGTTTTCTATCAACTGTCCCTCAAAAATAGTACGAAGCAGCCCGGTTTTCAGCTCCAAGCTCCGCAGGACCAGTTATGGATTTTTATCATCATTTCAGTGGCGGGAATGTCCCGAGTTGTGAATGTATAATTATAAAGAGTCTATTAAAATCCTTAGTGTCACAGAGATGCTTCACAACATCCATATTTAAAGAGTTAGCAGTACAACAAGATTTTATGCACAGAATAGTTAAGCTATTTTTTCTTTTTCCTCGTTTACTTCATTCTTTATGCTAGTCAAAATTGTTGTTGTAATTTAGATATGATGCGGGTTTAACAAAGCTTATTTATTTATGTAATTCTGATTTATAGAACGGAATGACAAGCTTAAAATAAAAAAATTTCAAACAATGGATTTCAGTGTAGAACAAGATATTTTCGATGCGATTGTGTATTATCCCAGTAGCATCTCTGAAAATGGATATCAGATCCTGCCTGAAGGAATAAATTTTTAGCCAAGTTTTCCGGGTGTGAAGGCGATCACTCTTCTTTATAGAAGCGTATCAATAACGATCTGCTAAGGCAAGAACAGTGCACAGTGCCATGACCTGATGCGTCTCGGTCGCGGTTTCTCACAGACGTTTCATTTGTCCAGTTTTTTCCACGATACCCTTAATTCTGCATAATTCCCTACATTATTACATTAGATTTAAATTATTTCTATAGCCACTGCACGATGATGACTTAACTGGTGCTACTTTCCACAAGATAGAGCTACAGCCCATGCTGCAAATGCAGTAGGAAATTATCTGCTACAACCCTTTAATAACAGAATAATGTGCACAGAATTGAAAAGATTATGAACTATTGCATTAACATAAATCAAAAAATGTTCCAGAATATATATGAAAATAGTAACAGAAAAATAATAATCTGTTTGGTGCAAAATGGAAGAAGACATTTTCAAATGTTAGTGTGTGTGCCATTGAAGATGACAATTTGAAATGGAAGGCATTCGTCTTAGGTGATGATTTTGATAAAATAGGTACTTAATTTACTAGTTAAATGTTGAAACATACACATATTGTATTTAAAGTTTAACGCTTTATATAAAGCTAGACATATTTAACCATAATGCACTAACTCATTTGTTTTAATCAACATTGAATACTGTGGTCAAGAATATTTTACAGTAACTCATTTGTTTTAATCAACATTGAATACTGCGGTCTAGAATATTTTAATATTTTAACTATACTTACGTTGAACTAAAATTCATAAATAAACATCGAATTCAGTTTGAGTGTAAAAACGAAAATTTAATTCAAAAACTCTATTACAACTAATTACAAGTCTATTGTCCATACTTTTATTAGTTAGCTTACTTCTAATATCTTTGCTTTTAAAGACCTAGTTTGAGATTTCAGTTTATCAAAAGTTTAAACAAAAATACTAGGATTAAAGCTACAAACATAAAAGAGAATTGTTTCATTAAGACTTTGTTTTTTTTTTGTTTTGAAAAAAGAAAACTATTCTGATTGTAATTCAATAGTGTAGTAGTACCTATTAGTATTACTATGCATATCTTTTATTAATTCGTTAAGTAATTTTTTCGAAAAGCCAACATTGTGGTTAGAATTACATAATAAAAAAATTGCTTGAAACAGTAAAATAACAAGTTAAAAATTTGTTGTAAAAGATTAAAACCAAAATCAAAATATTCCAAAAATTATCACGACTTTTTGAAACTTGCTGATCAGGAGTAATATACTCGTCATTATAATAGGAGGTGTAGGGCTTCCTTGTTAGCACATTGCGGAAGGATACATAGAAAATCCTATCGAGAATTAGAAAAAGCGGTTACCGAAATTGCAATATAATACAGCATAAATCTGTTAAAATTTAGTATTTTTGATTACAATATGTAGATGTATTCTGACTTTTTTGGTTTTAAGTGATATTTTCAGCATGGGATGCAATTTGATAATGTAAGTAAGTTATTTTGAGAGTTTCAATATACAGAGGCTTTGTTTTTGAGGCGCAACATAAAATTTTTTTTTAACCTACTATTCTGACTGGCACTCATCTTCCTAAATTTTACAAGTAAATTTTAAGGTATTTTTGAAATGAAATGCGACGTTGCCAAAGTATTTCAGTTTTTTATGGTGGAAAGGCCCACAAAAAATCGTAATAGGGTTATTTAATATTTTAGGGATAGATAAACAAAGGTATGCGCTGTGTTATAGAACCAATAAAACAGATTCTTGCTATTAGAGCGATGTGATATGGAACAGTAAATATTTGTAGCGATAAAGCACTAGATTAAATACAGACATATGTGCAACAGGTGTCACTAAAGTAAAGTGTCAACATATTCAGTTTTTACTTCCCGAGCGTAAGCCAAAGAGGTACCTACGAAAAAGCCGGTCTCCCGTTTCCGTCTATGTCAATTTTTATGAGACAGATAATTTCCGAAACTACTGGATCGATTAATGTCAAATTTTACCTAGACATCCAAATTTTTGAAAAAAAAATCATAATTCAATAACAACATTTTACAATTTAATTTTGGAATTGCAAAACCGAAATCTTTTAACGTGATGTTAGGTATAGTAAATAGTTAATTCAATAAGGGATATTATTAGGGTAATTAAGGTATTATCCTAGACAAGCAAATTTTTTGGAAAAAAATTACAATTTAACTTTGAAATTGTAAAACCAAAAGGAGTAGTTTTCCTTCATAACAAATACTCATCGTCCAATGCCGGACCTGCTAGTTTTTGACCTCCTAGGAGTTGTTTTTTCCGGTGATTTTCATGCGCGACGATGACTCATCATCGGTGACGGCGGTCGGACGGCGTTCGCTAAAGAAAAGCCTGGAAGCGGAAGTCGCGATGGGCACTTTAGAAAAACCTCGACCACGGAACATCTAGAAAAGAAGTATGGGTTTAAAATAGCCACCTTCAGGAACGTTAGTTCAGTCAAGACGGGGTCCAGTCAGGGCGCCGGAATTATTTTGTATATAATCGGTGTGTAGTTAGCCGTGTAAATTTGAGTTAGTAAGAAATAAATTGTTGAATTTTATCCACGCCGATTTTATTCACCGATCATCGTAACAATACCTTAGTGTCCATAAATCGATCACTAGTTCTTAGATTAATACCACTACGAACGTTTGAATTAATTTTTTACTAGGCCCTCTAGTCTGGAAGCTCTGCGACTACAATTTTTAGAACATACTTGCTCTTGTAAAATATTAATATTATTGGTTACTGATCTTTCGTGTATATTTGCAGAGTAGAGAAATTATCTGTATTTGTTGTTTTTAATTATATACCTGAGAATTTGGGAAAATATATTATATTCGTGTTACGAACGTGATGATGCTTTACTTTCTTAATACAGTACACCCCAATATTAATTATTTTCAAATTGTTGTTTTTACAAAGAGCGTAATTGTAGGCAGTTTTTAGTGCTGACCATCTGATGAATATTCATTGTAGATTTGCATATGGAATAAATTATCAATAGTAATATCCTGAGCGTATGTCAAATTGTCCACAGTTTTAATTTTCTGGAGTAGGCATATGCGAAGATATTTTGTAGATTATTTCTTAAAAAAAAAGTCATATATTTATCGATCTGCTCCAATAACATTAAAAGATTAACGTAATTTACGTAAAAATGATGAAAAATCAAATAATTTCTGGATATGTATTTATGCAAATTTTTGCATGATAACGTAAACAGTGGAAGGTAAAAATGCATTCCCACTCCAGTAGCTTTCGCAAAACCGATATGGAAATAAATAGTTTGACTCCTGTTAACAGTAAAAAATGAAAAGAACAGAGTTAGAACGCAAAAGTATCCTTACTTGTACATGTAATAATTATTGTACCTTTCAAAAATTAAACCTACCTTTTGCACGTGTGCAAATCCACTATTGAAACATTAGATGAATTTTAACGTCCCTGCCCAAAAAGTATGTATAGTAGTCCTAGAGTGAGTTCGTTTTTATGGCCTGCAAACTCAAGTACCACAAGCATTAGGAGTTCTACTGAAAATGTAAATAGCAGTGCCATAAACCATCTCAAGAATTTCAAAATGGGTGTGGACAAAATTGGCCTATTGTAGAGGAACTTAACGAAGTTACTCTGGGACTACTATAAATGAAGTGACCTTTGTTATCGACACGATGTGTTTACCTAAAGGAACATCGAATCGTAAATTTATGTATTATATTAATCCAATTTCAGAATAACTAGTTCGTAAACCATGTTTCCAATTGCCATGACATTAAACCCGATCACGAAATTCTTGTAAGTAATTATAAAGAGTGCATAATACAATTATAGTTTTTTTTTCAGTTCCAACCATTTACTGAATAATGTATACCATAATAATTTGAATATGCATAAATGTCACCATTTACGGCTGTATAGTTACAATTATGTATTCTGACGTGTGTGAAGTAACAACGCATTTCAATTAATTATTCATATAAATACTGGTTACTTAATTCAATATTACGGAGAAATTAAAACGCAAAACTCGGTTTATGCACCTGTACGTGTAACACTTGTAATAAATAATTTTAGTAATCAATTGAATGTAACAGTAACAGTACTCCTCGTCAATAAAATAATAAACAATCTGAGTTTGAATGACGTAATTTGAAATAAATCTTTCCTCGCAACGAGCTTCTTCTTTTCATCTGCATCTAGGACAATCAAAATCCTTAAAATTATGGGCGATAATGAAAGTTTTGCAGTAAAAAATCAATTTTAAATGCACTATATTCATAAAAGTAAAAATCCTCTTTTTGCGTTTTACATAAACACCAATTTTGACTCTCATCACTATTTTTTTGTAGATCCGTTTGGTCGTAACAAACTAAATTTCTCTCCCGAATGCGCAGTTCTCATCGAAATTATTATCGTAATTAAGGGTGGCAACCCTGAAGGTCGATTTTTCCGCCCGTCCAGTTTAATTATCTTTAATTAGTATGCACAGAGTGGCTTCCCTGTTTGCGTCACGATCAAGTAAGTACGCACAACGTTTTTCTTTTTCCAGATGACCAGATATACACACGCCGATTTCACAGATGACGACAGTGTAAATAGTGTACAGTTAACGGAAGGCATCAGTAGCAGTGCCACCCACATACGCTACCATGCTGGTACTAGCATCTGGAAGCAGAGGACCATGCTGGAGAAGGCCCTTTTAGTACTTGTAGCCACCCTCTTTTTCGTGATTGTCGTTCTTACGATTATTCTACATTCGGCGGAACACAGGATACGTGAGTCCAGAGTAAGTGACCGACAAAATGTAGTTAAAACAAAAACAAACAGTTAAATTAAAAAAATATATACGTATCATCAAAAGATTAAAAATTCTACTTGTCAGAAAAATAATCGTCAAAAATTTTACAAATGAAAAATCCAAATCACCCAACATATGATTTAAAACATTGACGTTATGTTAAGAACAATAACAAGAAAATATATAGTCTAGTTGCAATAAATATGCATACAATTTAATAAATACAAATGCATATTAAATACATATATATTAAGTACCATAAGACTTTTAAAAAAGTTTTGCTTAGAATAAGTTCGTTAACATAAAAATTCATCAAAGTTGTCACACTCCACGAAAGTGTCAAACGAAAAAAAATTAAATTAACATAAATATGTTAATAGGGTAAAAATTAATAGCTGACTGTAACGAATTTATTGACTGATGTCTGCGAGTAAAAATATGTACTGTATAAAATATGTGCACGATGAGTCACCGAAATTTGGAACATCCGTCTGTTCTTTAAGGAAAAATGTTATGCTTTTTTATTCTTTGTGATAAATTCAGAGACTGTATAGTAGGATCTGCAATTCTAAACCAAAAACTCCTGAGAAATATTTTAAATCGTTAATATTTTTTGTTCAGTCGTCAAGTAGTTACATTTCAAAGTAGCTAATATTTTACTTTGAGTTGTCCCTGCTACATTTCTAGATTTCTACCCTTCGTGGTATTTAACATAAATCATATTTCCTTCAGGATCAGCCAAAATAGTGGCCAAGCTTCCTCTAAAACAATGGTCAGTGTATTTCTGAAATTTTTCTTTTCACCCTATTTTTTTAATTTCGATATGGCTATATTTGAAGAATAATCGACAACTTGAATTCTTCTGAATGTGAAACGGGAAAAGTTTGCTCGGAATGGGTTTATGAGTACAGAATTTGCACCGCTGGCATATTTACAGCTTATATCACTAATCGTTACTTTGTCTAATTCTTTTCGTCAACAGGCTCCATCCGTGTAAAGTTGAAGTTAAGTAAAGTTATTATTTCGTGAGAAAAACCAGCTTGAAATGACATTTTCTTGTACTACAAAGTAACGATGATTTCGGCCACTTAAAAAGAAATGCAGTTTTAGGAACAATTTTGAAAATTAAGGAATTAATCTTAGCAGAAGGTGGGGCGGGGTATTCGAGCTAAGAGAAATCACGAACAAAATTTGTTAGTTTTTGGCAGTTCAGTTTAATTTTGTGTTTGAACATTGCGACAGAGGTTCGTTTATTTTCGTAGCCAGCCTGACTCAAAGCTCCTTGGTCCTGGTTTTGTTTTTAATAGGCAGGTTAAGTGTATTTATTTACATTGTTTGCCGAACAACATTTAAAAATTTGTTGATAGAAGCTCCTTTGAATCTTCATAGCAAACCCAAAATTTTCGCTTTAGGTCCAAAATTGAATTTTGACCCAGGTTACATGAAATTGTGTCGTGTTAAACACTGCGTAGGTATTTTTAATTTACTGAACATATATAAACCGTAACATTAATTTCAGCTATTGTTATTGTTAACACTGATAACCCAAACATCAATTCACATGTGAAAAAAATTCGAAAGCCCGCGAAAAATGAAAAAATTTGGCCTTGGCTGTGATCGTCCAACAAAATGGAACCCTACGTTGTGTTTGTTTTTTTGTGGCGGAATGCGTTCAGATGCAAGTGGTGGATCCCAAGGTTGGAAAAGTACCGCTAAATAAAACACCAAATATATGGAGGAAATTATTTATTCCTCTACTGACAAAAAATAAGGAAAAAAAAACTGCGACTAAGTTGCGCAGATTGAAGACCTTAGTGCTCAGCTACAAAAAAAAAAAACTCTCCAAACTTTGAATGAAATCAAATTAAACATTCTGAATCAATGCAACTGTTTGAATATCACAAATTTGATAAAAACAAAAAAAAATCTGAAGTAAAGTAACTAGATGCAAATACACAAGTTATTACGGACGTGTGGCGGCAAATTTGAATTGTGTCAACAAGAGAACAAAATTTTAATAAAATTATCGAACTATCTCAAGTTCAATCTAAAGCACAGTAAAATTACCCATATGGGCCGTTGTAGCACGAGCGGAGTTTGGGGCTCCTGGTCGTGGCTGTTCTCCTACCCACGACGGTGATTCTATCTATCTCAAGCATTGCCGCACAGCACCTCTCCATTACGAACATGCCGTCCGAGCAGCGTCACGTCATCTCCTGACTTCTATTCAAATCTGCGTCTTTTGTGGGCCTCGACTAGGAACCGCACCCTCCGCTTCTGTCACGTGTTTCGGTGTTATTTAACCTCAATTCCATTTAAATGTTCAATTTCTATGACTCTGATATTAAACTACAATTAAACAAGTGTTAAAGTTTCAAAAAGAGCAATAACAACATTTAAATTTGTCATACGCTCTCGTGAAATTTTTAAACAGCAAAGAATTCCTATTTGAGATTAAGATTGGACATCAGATAATTTATATGACGGAAACAAAAAAGCTAACTAAGGTTTATAAAAACAAAAAAAAAAGGTCTGGCGTGATGTGCAGACAGCAGAGTATGAAAATTAACGTTCAATTTAAGTTATACAACAAAGAAAATTACTGACGTTAAAATTATAAGATAGTGAAAAATTGCAAAGCTAACAAAATCACATGAGGACACACATTTTATGTCCATTGGAGTTATTGAAAAAGTGAAGTTATTCAGCTGCATTGCGGGCCATTATTATACATTCCCCCAAACAAACACAAAAAACATAACAAGCAATCTGGAGGTACAAAATGGTGTCGAACGAATGCGTAGTTCAAAAAAATACGTCGAAAATATGTCTCCCAGAATTGTGATCAATCCTGTGGCGCTGTGCAAATAATGGTCTAAATCAAAGGAATAAAATGCACGACGTCCCACATGACTCACAACGTTGTTAATTTATTCAACGAGATTTTACAGTTCAAACATGTGCTCGGTTTGAAAATACTCTTTCAACATGGCCGTTGTCAAAACAAAGAATTTACCTGATGTTAAATTATGCCACACTTTATCAATGATTCAAACAAAGAATTTACATTATGTTAAATGAAGCCTTGATCCAAGTGACTGGTTACTTAAAACCATTAGCTTTGAGAGTTTATATCGTGGATTGTTCCCAGCCTAACCCAAACAAAACGCATGATAACTAAACAACACAAAATGTATCAGTCGTTGTGAGGAAAGATTCTCGGTGATGTGATGATGATATGATGATAATAAGGGGAGACAATTTTAATCCGCCCGTACCTCAGTCCACGATATTATGAATTCTACCGTGCCTTCACGGTCTTTTCCCAGAGCGGAGCAACGTTAGGTTGATTTAACTGGCGTTAGCGGATTATTAGCAATCTAGTGTGAGGAATTGAGAAGTATTATAATGTAACACTCAAGTATAAGCATCCAGCATAATTAGATAAACAAAGGATGAGCCCTGACTAAGTGAATTTCATGAAATCTCCTAGCAAGTACTTGATCTAAACAAATTCCTGACTGTTAAATTGTGTTAGAACTAGTTAACGATTAAAATCCTAACATGAACTGTGAATTTACAAACAATAAAACAAATTTACGCCAGGGGTTAGCGTCGGTCGAAAATTCACTAATTTTCACTTGGAGAAATCGCAAGAATTAGCTACGCGTGTTGGGAAAACTGTGGCGTTGTCGTTGTTACGATTAATTGTCGTTAAATAAAGGATTTCTCCTTTTTTATTAACTACAAAACCAACTAAACTTAACCTAGCTAACTCACCACGTGGTTACACTCAGAACAAACACAAAAAGTGAAGGGTCGCGACCCTCTACCAAGCAAAGCCAACGTCTCACTACCAACCCTCTAACTAAAATTTCCTAACAGAACTACGAACTACCAAAAAAAGAACTAAACGTACACATGGTTGCCTATCTTTAACGATTTTCTTGATTGAGTTTTTTTTCAAATTCAAATTATTCTAATGCAATTTCGCGCCGCCATTAATTTTTTTCAGCGCGAAATTTTAGTTCAAATTCTGTCACCACAACACTAAATAAAAATTGTAAACAAATCTTCTTTTACTTCATGTTTAGTGACTCACTTTTTTTCTTACACTGTGAGTGATACTATATGTTTTTTTTAACTGGATTTTGATTGTATTTTAGGGACTAAACATGCTGTCTTATGATTTGACACCATTTTTTTTACCTCCATATTTTTCTTCTTGTTCTTCTTATCCTTCCATAACACATCTTATTTCCTTGATGGTCGATTGTGGAAAGAGTTTCATGGTATCGCTCACTTTCACAAATGACATTTTTAGAAATTTAGACAAAAGAACAAAAAGTTTCAGGGAAAAGAAAATAATATCGAGGATGAATTTCTATTTAGTGGCAAGGCCGAGAACGATTAGTGGTAAGGAGATGAGGTGAAATCCTGTTCCAGACACGTGGGATGACAATTTTTCAAACAGAGAGCACCTGGAAACCATTATCTCTGTTAAAATTATTGGGATGTTTGTGAATTTATGCTGTCTCTTGACTTTCCTAGTGAAGTAATATGAAATTTTTGAAAGAATTAGGATTTGATATCCTGCCCCCTGTTGAGATTTTGCTACAGGTGATGATGAGTTTCTAGATCGAATGCAACGTTGTTGTTTGAATATTCTTCTTTTGAAAGAATTACATGTTTATCTATTCATATATGTACTGCACCACATGAATAGGGAATACCATAAATACCTTTTAACAATGACTCCAGAAGTTTGTCTTCTAGCTCAGACCCGGAAAATGTCTTTCTGTTACGAATTTTGGTTGTGAAAGATGATTAAATTAATATTCTGCTTTTTCTTGTCTTCTTTCCGGAAAATTGGAAATACTTCCTACGATTGAAGGTGATTTAAGTAATACTAGCCACCTTATATTTAGTCAGTTAACTGAGATGAAACACCTTGTATTAGTTATTTTGTACAAAATCAAAGTTTTGCAAATTTTTCAAACATACTAAAATCTGCATAGTAGGAATAAACTGAAAAACTAGTGCATTCTATGGAAAGTATAAAGTAGGTCCAAGGAGCGGTCGCAAACAAAACTATTTTACACATTATAAAGTAAACAGTCTTTAGTTTAGGACACAGCAGCCCTTGAAATGCTAACCACCTCATTTCCAGATAATTCACGTACAGTCAGAGGATGCCCTCCCCTGCCTGAATAAATCCTGCGTCCATATAGCCAGCAATATCCTGGACGCCATGGACCTCTCTTACGAGCCGTGCGACGACTTCTACTCGTTCTCGTGCAATGGCTGGGTCAAAACCAACCCGATCCCAGATGGCAAGAGCACTTGGGGCACCTTTATGAAGCTCGAACAACAGAACCAGCTCGTCATTAAGCACGTGTTAGAACAACCTCTCGAGAACCTCAAGTCCAAGGCGGAGAAGAAGGCCAAGTTATACTATGAGTCTTGTTTGGACGCCAACGACACCGTGGAGGAGTTGGGGGCCAAACCTATGCTGGACCTCCTCAAGAAACTGGGTGGCTGGAGTATCACCGACAGTGATTTCAACGCCAACAACTGGTCGTTCCAGAACACAGTCCAGATGGTACAAAACAAATATAACATAGGAGCCCTTTTTGCGTACATGGTGGGAGAGGACGACAAGAACTCCTCGAAGTACATTCTGCAAATCGATCAGAGTGGATTGACGTTACCCACGAGGGAGTACTATTTGAATGAGAGTGAACATGCAAAGGTGCTGGAGGCGTATCTGGATTATATGACGAAAGTGGGGGTGCTACTGGGGGGCGAGCCAAATTCGACTAAGGAACAAATGCAGGCTGTGATAGAGTTCGAAACTAGGTTAGCGAATATTACGACACCGAGTGAGATGAGGAGGGACGAAGAGGCACTGTACAACTTGATGACGATTGCCGATTTGAAAGCTAGGGCCAAGTTTGTAAGTACATTTGAAAACTTAATTGCTAAATTCTGAGAAAACTATAGGAAAGTAAAAAATCTTTGAAAACACTCTAAAACCTACTCAGTGAATAAAAAATTCACCACAGACACGTCTTGTCTACTTTCAGCTAGATTGGAGGGCTTTCTTCGAAGATGCCATGAGGATTGTCGGTCGTAAAGTTACCTCAAAAGAAAAAATCGTTGTTTATGCCGCTGAGTATTTGGGCAACCTTTCAAGCCTAATCCAAGAGTATCAAAGCACAGTGGAGGGCAACATGTAAATACTCTAATATTCTAAAAGGCTATTTTTAAAAACCTGTCTCATTTTTAGCACCTTGAACAACTACCTCGTCTGGCAAACAGTCCGTGTCTTTAGCGGATGCCTCTCCAAAGCTTTCCGGGACGCCTATAAAGGTCTTCGCAAAGTCCTCATGGGTTCTGAAGGCGGAGAGGAACCTCAATGGCGATATTGCGTCCAAGACACCAACAACGTCTTAGGTATTTTCAAATACATTCTACGCACTTGCTCAGTCCGATTTTCAGGATTCGCCATTGGTGCTATTTTTGTGCGTGAGGTTTTCCACCTTGATTCGAAAACACAAGCTGAAGATATGATAAATAATGTGCGGAACGCATTCAAGGCCAACTTTGCTAAACTTAGATGGATGGATGAAGATACACGGAAGGCAGCCATTGTGAAAGCGGATGCCATTTCGGATATGATTGGTGAGTAGGAAGGTTTTTTCATTCAATTAACAAGAGTACTATTGATTGTTGGTACAAATCGGAAGTTCTATAAAGGTGCAGTTATTGTTCAGCATGGCAGGTCGCCATGGAATAAGTCAATAAGTGTATTAGTAGGTGTCAAAAAGATTACTGTTGCAATTCTGGTTTAACGAAATTTTCCATTTAAAGAAGAATTCAACTCTTTCAAGGGATACTTAAGCATACTCTTAACGCCTGTTAAAGAGTTGCACAATAAAACTGTTGAAAGGAACTTTTACTGCACACTCGTACTTATGCGATCTAGTGACACATAAACCAACCTATCAAGTTTTATTGCCAAGCACGGTCTACATTTTATTCTATTTTATATCCTAAGGGTTTAATGTCGCAGTTGTTAAGATTTTATATATGTAGTATGAAATCACGAAAGATACCTACTTTTTATACACTATTTTATGTCGAAAATTAATCATGGCTTTGCCCGACAGCAACGAATTTAAAATAATATTTCATAAATTTTTTCTCTTTCTTGCTTCCCGAACAAGTGCAAGGAAAATATAGTAAAAATTTCCATTTGACAAATGGCTGATTTCACGTTTTTCGAAGTTTCATAGCTTCCAGAATATGAAAAAGCAGGTTTCTGGTTTCCATTTGCCTATCGTCTGTTGGCGATTTTATTAGTCAGATGATCTCAAAAACCAATTATTTTGAAATTTTAGACGTACTTTAAAAATATCATCTATCTAATTATTCTCAGCAAAAATTTGATGCTATTTATAATGTGCAAAATAATATACTCCAATATTTGTGATTTATTAAGTCATCCTTATTTTAAACTTTAGCGTGTAGCTTTTTTGGGAAAAAAATCAAAATTGTGCTAGACATACTAAACAAAAACAATGTTAAAAATAACAAGAATAAAATACATACCTTGATGAAAAAAAAAGAAGTAGGTACTTACATTATTACACTTTTGCCTTACAAAACTCGTCTACGGCTCGCCATCCAATCTAAGCTCCTGCGGTCATAAAAAAGCCTATAAAAAGTTGTTTTTTCGTCTAGTATGAAAGCTTGATGGCGGAAAATTTGGAAACATCTTCAGTGTTTTGTTTTAATGTAGACAGGACATACACAATTAAAAACCTAATTACGTTTATTTTTTATTGTAACTAAAATTAATAAACAATTGCCTGGTTTACTTAATCCAAAAACTTCAAATTATCAGATAAAATGACAATCTAGATTAAAATCTAGCGGCACTTTGATAGAAGTTATTTCAATTTTTAATTTTCCAGGTTTTCGATTTGCAATTTTTCGTTTCAGTTTTTTATTTTCTTTATTTTTTCAATTACTTGATTTTTTAATGTTCCAATTTTATAATTTCTTGTTTTTTAATGTTTTAAATTTCCCGTTCCTTCAATTTTTCGCCTTACGATTTTTCAATTTAAATGAAATTTCCCAAGTTTCCAATTTTTCATTTTTCATTTCTTTAATTTGCAGTTTTCCGTTTCGGTTTTTTAGTTTCATTATATTTACTATATTTTGATCTTTCAATGACTGATTTTATAATTTTTTGTTACTTCAATTTCACATTTTTTCAATTTTTCGATTGGCAATTTTTCGATTGGCAATTTTTCAGTTTTTCATATTTTTTTGTTTCTTCAATTTCTCTTTGAGTTTTACAACTTTTAATGTTTCAATTTTTAAATTTTGCGATTTTTCGATTTGAAATTTCACGGGTTTTCAGTTTTTAATTTTTCGATTTTTCAATTTTTCATTTCTTCAGTTTTTCGATTTGCAAATTTTAATTTCGGGTTTTTGTTTTATTTACTTTTTCATTTTTCGATTTTTCAATGCCCGGATATAACTCTCCTTTTTCTTAATGTGAAAATTTTCAACTTTTGGATTTTTCAATTCCTCCATTTTTCAATTTTTGATTTGCGATGTTTCTAGTTTTCATTTTAACTTTTATGTATTGATAATTATAATTTTTGAAATTCTCCACTTTTCAATTTAACGATTTCAGAATATTTCGTTTTTATAATTTCCGCATTTTTCAATATTTCAATTTGATTTGCCTTTTCTTCTTTCCAGTTTTTCGATTCATTAATTTTCCGATTTTTAAGTTTATCAATTTTTATTTTTTTCAGTGTTCTGAATTTTCATTTCTTTAGTTCTTCCATTTGCAGTTTTTCGATTTTCCACTTTTTTGGTTTAAAAAATTGTAAAAGTGCAAAATTGAAAAATCAAAATTGAAAAACGAAAAAATACCAAATGAAAACTTGGAAAAATCTAAAAACTGGAAATCAAAAACTTGAAATACTGACACAAAAAATTGAAAAAGCGAAAGATAAAAAATTGAGGAATTGAAAAAGCAAAAATCGAAAATTTGAAGAATCGAATAAACCAAAAATTAGGAAGTCAAAAGAAACATGAAAAAAAATAATTGTCGATAAAATAGAGAAAATGAAAATAAAAAATCGGGAAAATGAAAAATTGAAAAATCGAAAGAATTGTGATATGAAATCGAGAAAATGAAAATAAAAAAATCGGGAAAATGAAAAATGAAAAATTGGGAAATTTCAAAATCGAAAAAGTGCAAAATCGAAAAACCGAAATATTGTAAAATCAAAGGAATTGTGATATAAACTCGAGAAAATGAAAATAAACAAATTCGGGAAAATGAAAAATTAAAATTAAGAACTTGAAAAATTAAGGAAACGAAAAATTGAAAAATCGAAAAATTAAAAATTGAGAAACTTAAAAATCGAAAAAGTGCAAACTCGAAAAAGCGAAAATTGTAAAATCGAAATATTGGACTCCAAGTTACATATACTTTCATGAAAATTGATATTCTTCTTTAGGGTAACGCAAAAAATTATGTATTCATGTAAATGGTGATCCTCATTATTTTGTTAAATTTAGTGAAGTATGGAAAAAAATGGAGAAAGAGGAAAAACGAAACTCGATTTTCTAGAACGTGGTTTAGACCGATTCATATAACGCGAATACGACCCTTTGGAACTGTCGTAAATCTTTTTATGACTATCTTTAATACCGTAAATCCCTCTCGCAGTCGGCTTATGTTTAGCAAATCGCTTTATGTTGATTTAAACACGATTGACTTAAAAATACGCATATTAAAGTATAAAATATACGTGAAATTTCGTTATAAAATAAATCGTTGAAATTTTGGCTGATCTAAAAAATAGAAGAAACAGAAGAAAAAGCTGAAAATTACGAATTTCTAATAAACTACAATATCTGTACAAACACTTAATTATGCTCCATTACTAACTTTAATGACGAATGGAGCGTAATTCCTTCAAGTGAATTGTTATTCTCGTTAGTAAGTTTTGGATGGCGTTTAAAAAATTCTGAAATCTAGTCACATTTTATATTTTCAAAAATGATATGTACTTTTAGTTGTTGCATAACTTGTTATTTCCCAACGATAATAAATTCCAAAGTCACGTTGTGGTGACAATAATTTTAAAACAAAGAATTTCCTGACACTAATATATGTACGTATATTCCTTAAAATCGTCCGTGAAACATCATCTAAATTACAAGAATGTGCTTCGCTTGAATAAATTATTTCCTAGAAAAATGATAACTTTCTCGCTTTGAAAACATTGCATTTGTGTACAGTAGTGTTATTGCTCCACAAAATTAACGCACCACTAGAAAAATTTAAAAAAGGTTAAATAAAACACCAAAAACAATACAACTTGAAATATCAATGAAAACATAAACCACAACATTGAATAAATGCAAATTAAAAACTTAAAAACGAGTGTTTCCCCCTCTACATCTGATCACAGCTTTGTATCTCTCAGGGATACTTACAATTATACGCCGAATATCCTCTTGATCAAAGGCATTCCAAATTTGCACCAACTGGTTACCAACATCCTCAAGAGCAGCGGGTGGCGGTTCATGAGCTCCAAATCGTCTCGCTACCACGTCCCATACGTGTTCCATGGGATTAAGATCTGGACTTCGTGCAGGCCATTGCATAACTTGAAGTCCTCATGAATATCTTGCTGGAATATGAAGTCCTCCAAAAGGAGCTTTTTAGAGGATGTTGCATTGAGCATATCGCTGATTTGGTCGATTAAACAGACGAACACGTCGATCTGACGAATGTAGACAACAGCAAGACTCATTTGAAAACATTACGCGTTCCCAGTCATGGAGGTTCCAAGCTACATGTTTGTGTCCTAGCAAACTCCATACGGGCTCTACGATAGGCTGCCTTTAACAGAGGTCCAGTCGTTGGTCGGCGGGGGTACACATTAACTTCATTTAGGCGTCTTACAATTGTTTCCAGGCTTACTTGCACGTTATCTGCCTGTGCAAGTTCCATTTGAAGATACCTGGGGGTAGTAAATCTCTCTTAAGGCTGTACCTCGTAGAAAACGATGTTAAATTCTTGTAGTTTTACGATGTCTACCTTGCTCCCGACGTCTTCTTAATGTCTTTGAACCACTCTAGAAATGGTGGTATGTGAGACTCCGGGTCTTAGGAGCCAAATCCGAGTTTTAAACATTATGAAGATTCTGCCTGAGTTAAAGTCACAGTAAATCATGGAACGATAGGGTTCTCTTTTTAACTCCGCGTTTCTGCCACTTTCAGTTGCTCTACAGTTTCTAATAAGTTGATGTGATAAGTGATGACCTGACACTTGCGTACTTATGTGACACTAAGGTATCATAATATTAATTTCCTAAAACCCACTGGTTTTAAGTATCTCAAATATTACAGAGTAGCCCTCGTATTTACAAATAAAAATGTTAGGGATGCAGTATGTCTTACATTTTAGTTGTATTATACACAAAAACAACTACTCGCACACGTTACTAAAATATCCAAACGTACCAGGTTATCCCGAATTCGTCCGTGACATCAAACAACTAGACGAGCGCTACGAACAACTGGAAGTGCGCAGTGACGCATACTTCGTCAACAATCTAAACATCAACTTGTACAATTTGAAGAAGAACCTAGAAAAGATTAACGAGCCGGTGAACAAAACAACCTGGAGTAAGTGTATCTTCTTTTCCGTTGAAACAGAACAGGTTCGAAAGGTGTGCATTGTGTTCCAGGTATGGCGCCTTCGACGGTGAACGCGTACTATACTCCAACCAAAAATCAGATGGTCTTCCCCGCCGGCATACTACAAAGCCCATTCTACGACCCCACTTTCCCGCCGAGCCTTAATTATGGAGGAATGGGCGTAGTCATGGGACACGAACTCACTCACGGTTTCGATGACCAAGGGCGCGAGTTTGATAAAGATGGAAATCTGAATCACTGGTGGGAGAATAACACGATTGCTGCGTTTAAGAATAGGACGAAGTGTGTCGTCAATCAGTACAGTGAGTATTCTGATTTTGTATGTTTGTGCATTTGCATTTCATTCGCTTAAAATACCTTCATTTTTCAGACAAATACAAGATCAACGGCAAATCCATCAACGGTAACCAGACCCTTGGCGAGAACATCGCCGACAACGGTGGTCTCAAGGCCGCCTACCACGCGTATCTCAACCTCATGATGGACAAACCTGAGCCGCCGTACCTTCCCGGCTTGCCCTACAACCACAAACAGCTCTTCTTCATCGCCTTCGCGCAAGTGTGGTGCTCTTCCGTAACCAAAGAGGCAACGGCCCTTCAGATCGAGAAAGACTCTCACTCGCCGGCCAAATTCCGCGTCATCGGCGCCCTCAGCAACCTCAAGGAGTTCAGTGAAGTATTCAAGTGTGCCGTGGGAACTAAAATGAATCCGAAGAACAAATGTGAAGTTTGGTAAATTGTGTACATATGACCAATCTAGGGGCCTAAAGGCTTTTATTTTTCGTTTGGATGTACCTGATTTGTATGGAGCTGGTCGGGACGGACCGCGTTCGAGCCCGGTGCGTCCCAATCGGGTCCTGCCTCTTCCTGTAGCGCCGAGGTTTAGTTACGAGATTCTTTCTCATATCAACTCATTTACATGAACGTGTGATTATGGTTCTTGTCCTTGTTTGTGTAAATTTGTGTACCTATATTTTTACTGTGATAACAAGAATAAACGTAAATATTTAGAGTAAGGGAGTCGTTTATTTCGTTGACCACTGACGCTGTTTGAAGAATAAACATAAATTCTACCAACTCTACTAATACACCAAGATTTCCAGTGTTGCTGGTACGAAGATCCGTGTGGAGTGCCTCAGCAACAAGTCTCATAGCTACCTCCAACATTTTGAAGCTTCTTGTCAGAATCAATTCTCTAGGCGTTGCAATTAGACCAAGGGACCAAGGCAAGACAAAGTTTAATTTTATCTTGCTTGCGGTCGCAATTCGAAAAATAAATAATTAAAAAGAGAAGTGTTTATTTAATTGTGGGGAAAGAATTTTTAGATATTTTTGGTTAAATATTTTTAGGATTTTGTAGAACTTAATCTTGATTCATGTTGCAACTATGTTAATGCTAAAAGTAACGGGAACCCAATTCAGGTTTGGAAGAGTTTTGTTGCTAGTAAGAGTGCTCGAATTTTACATAAATTTCCATTTGAAAGGTTAGATATAGTTTATGGGTCAAACTGTAGTTCTAATTTGAGTAAACTTAGCATCAGATATCGTTCCTATTTTATCTGAATAGAAAAGAAAATAGTCTAAAGTTTACACAAAAATTCACTCGCCGCTAAAGCAAACCAAAACAATTTTTACTTCTCGAGAGTAAGCTAAGGAAGTATAGTAATCGAGTCCATCGGACGAATGACCACTTTTATGTTTTCTCGACGTTTCATGACCCCTGCAGTACAAAAAAAGTAATCCCCGGTTTAAGACTGTCTGTCTGGCTCTGTATTATTTTTTATTAGACACGTAATTTCCGAAACTACTGGACCAATTGTTTTTGTAGTCGTGTTAGGGATATCATGTAGATGGTTAAACGATCTCAATGAATTGTATTTTAAAACGATTTTAATGTTTATATTTATACAACAATGTACTCCTCCTATACTTGTAGTGTACGAATCCGCTTTCAGTTTTTTCGTTAAAATTTCAAATTTTCGCAAGGTATAATTACGTTGTATTGCCTACATTATTGGGATATAAGCATTCGTAGCGCAGTGCATTTTTAGGAGAATGGTGACTGAGGTGTGACCCCTCAAAATTTTGCTAAGGGATGAATAGACAAACTGGTTAGGAATCTAGCAGGTTGATGTGCTGACGATAACCTCAAAGCGCGTACGAAGTTTCAGATCATATGATTTACTAGTTTCTAACAAAAAGTTGTAAAATTTTCTTATACAATTTTGAATGTTTTCCCAAAATTCTACATATCGGGTATCCAATTGAAAAAGTCATACAGTTGGCCACGATTTTTGCAAACATTGTGAAGTATGTTTACAATAACCTTACTTTCTGGTACAATAAAATTACGGCTTTTTTAACATTCTGTCAAATGTTAATTCTCGACTAACAGTATGGATTAATAAATCAGTTTCGCTTTGTTTTCGTCTATCCAGGTTAAGGAGAAAACGCTAGAACATGGCATAAAATACATAAAACTAAACCAGGTATTGGGACGGAATTCTCAATTAACAACAAAGTGCTTGTGTACAACCCATGGAAGTTGGATGACAGAAGGGAGCATGTCTCATCTGACCGATGTTAAAGAAACACCGGCAAAACAGCTCTACGCAAGAGCCATTTATGATTCCTGCCGTACCACATCGGGACCGGTTGGTTATTAACTAGCAGGGGATGAGAGGCGGTGCCATTTGGTTTAAAATAAGCTCATATGGAGTAAAATAGTATATTATTAACTAAGGTTGTGAAGACAGACATTCTAGACCGAGCGCAAATTAGAACCTGAGACGCGCAGCGTCGAGGGCTCTAAAGCGCGAGGTCTAGAATTGGCTTCACAAACGTGGTTAATATACTATTTTTTCCACTAGTAGCCCATTTGAGGTTTGCGAATTTTCAAAATGTTTTTTCTGAAGTGCATCAATAAAAACGTGTACTCACGTCATTTTAGTAAGCTTTGGAATTTTATTATTTTTTGACAATCCAGAAATGGTCCAGAACTTTTGTTTTAATTTCCTCCATATTTCCCGTTTTTAATAAATTTTTGTGTGAAAAATGTTGTAAAGTGAACCATCATGTACCCCTCCTCATTCCGTCGTATTTACGCGACCGCGACAAATTTGGCTGAAAAAGGTATGGACCTTTTATCGTTAAAGCGACACGGGGAATGGAAATCCTCCAGCATAGCAGAAGGATACAACGACGGCTCGATCTTCAATTAAAAAAAAATCGCCGAAATCGTCCAAAGCTCATCTACGGCAAATCAAGTCAAACCAAATCGGAACCATGATTCAGTTTCAGTACCGTAAACTTCATTTTCACTCCCATCAACTTCATCAACGTTGTTTCACCAATTTATCCTCAATTTATAATCAATTCAGGGTTTGGAAATCATTCCAGGGCATAATTTAAAAGCAAATTTTCCAAAATGATCGTTTTCAGGTTATGTCTCAGTTTTTCTGACAGTTGTGGACAGTTGTCACATTAGGTGGCCAACTTCACGTTTACATTATTGACCAAGGTTCACAATTTTCCAAATTACAGACCTCTAGACAAATCGACAATTAGCCATTGTAATGCTACTAGTGGAAAAATGTTTTTATTGATACCGCTTTTGTATTCTGTATTATTCAATTATATAGGGTGTCTCAGAAATAAGTACATTAATTTTAACCAGTAACAGAACTCGTGAAACTTAATAATAACATCACTACAACAATAAAGAAAGAAAAACTTACTAGGGTTAGCAACCGTTTTGACACTGACAATCATTTGGAGGATACTCAGAGAACAACTGTACCCTTTTCAGGACCAGAAAGTTCAGTTATTGAAACCAACAGGCTTACCACGTACGCAAAACTTTTGTGAGTTGGTTAATAGAAAAATAAACAAACAAGGAAATTTTGTGTCTCTTATACCATTTACTGATGAGGCCGGATACACGAGGGAAGGGGTGTAATCAACACCCACATTTGGGCCGATGAAATTCCGTACGCCATTAGGGAGCAGCATTTTCAATTTCTCTCTAAATGTTTGTCATGATGACAAGATTAGGAAAATACGTATACTTGTAACTTTTTTTAACCATAAATTATTAATTATAATAATTATTAGTGTCCATGGGTGACTGAGGATCCATGGGCGGGTAACTTTAATTGGGATAAAATTTTAACAATTTTTAACTTGCGAATTAAAACGTTTCTGACGAAACTCTATTAAAAAAAGTTGTTGAGTTTGATGAGTACCGGGAAAACGCTTTCCAGCACGGCACTGAAACAGTCGGTGTCTCGAAGAAGTTGGAAGAGCCATTGATGAGCCTATTCGAAAGCGTGGTACCAGTCACGTTTTCAAATTATCTTCCCTCCTTTCATTCTACCTCCATGGAACAACCAGATGCTGGAACTAGTTTGCCTGTATGGTAGGTATATAGCTCTGGGGTATTGTCGAAAATGCATTCCTAAAAGCGCAGCAACGTGTGTAAGAGTGTTTTTTGGAGCATTTCTTGGAATTGTTCGTGAATTGTTCTAATTTTTAGATTTTCGCTTCCCCTGATAACGTGTTATGGTTGTTGGGTTTTTATTCTTGAACGTTATCTGACCCGATAAGGGTTCAGTGTCACTGAATAGCACTGTTATTTTAAAAGATGGTGATCAAGTGCTCTAAATGCAATAATACAATTGGACGTACTCATAATTACTTGTCTTGTAAGGCATGTAGATCTTATTTTCATTTAGAGTGTGCTAATGTTAGTAAAGAAGGTGACCAATTCAAACTGGCTACTCGGGCCAGGCTGTCGTCCTGGAAATGCAGCTTCTGCTCCATTCTTCCGGAAGCTGATGAAGCTTCTGCGGTTTATTCTGTTAACCTGTTAACGGATGCTCTAAAAAATATTTGCAGCATTGTACAACAACAGTTAAAACTTCGTGTTGATATAATTTCCGAATTTAAAGGCAATATGTAAAATTTAGTCAAAGAAAATAGTTATTTACGTGCTGAGATAACTAAATGTCTTGCCTGGGACTACTGCGGATCATTCTACTCATGTGGACTTAGAAGATAGATCGGGTAAAATTACTTATGCTAGCTTGGTTACTAAAAATTCAAAATCGACAATTATTATTAAACCCAAAAACGACAAGCAGGCTGTTTCCAAAACTAAATCTGATCTACCTAATCAAAAATGTAAACCCTCTGAAAGACAACATTAATATCGGCAAAGTTAAAATATTCAAAGATGGTCGTTTGCTCGTAAAGTATTCTAAATTAACGAACACAAAACAATAAATCTCCTCTTTGTTGCTTTTATCAAAATGTCTGAAAATTGTGTACTAAAGTTAAGGATTTCTATATCTTTTTAAATACGAATATTGAAGTTGTAGCAATTACTGAAATTTGGCTAGACCGTGATATAATGGATAGTGAACTTTTTCCCAATGACTTTGTAGTTTATAGGCAGTACAGAGACGTTCAAATTTTGGATATTTCCCGTGGTGGAAGAGTTTTGATTGGTGTTCGTGACAATTCATTCTATTGGTCTGAATCTTTCCAACGTTAATAATATTGTTCCGAATATTAATGTAACCTCACCTTCATCTATGCATGACTTTGAGTTATATATTTCTCGATATAATCAATATCAACGATTCATGAAAAGTGGTAAGATCCTAATTTTTGGGTGAATTTCATGTTGCTGAATTTAGCGCTAATGTTAATAACTCCGATCATCAAAATATCTTCCTTACCAATTTTCAAGCATTGAATAATCTTTCTCAACTCAATTCTGTACAAAATGCTCACCAAAAATCCTGCATTTAGTCTTTTCTAATCTTAATTCCCTTGTTGAACCCGCTGACTTTTCTCTTGTCAATAAAATTGATGCTCACCGTCCACCCCTTTTAATAAAAGTTAACCTTAACAATCCAACCTCTAATATCATTGAACAATACAACTTCAAAAAAGCTTTTGAAGTCGAAAAACTAACGTCCTGTGATTGGAACATTCTCGATTCTTTCTCTAA